GGCCAGCAGCTTATTGAAAAAAAGGTTGTCTCCCAGAATGCTTTTCAGATTATTTTCCGCAAGGTTGTTTTTCATAGGCGGTGTTTTGCTGTGTGAAAAGTGTGGCTTGAGATGGACAACTTAATGAAAGGAACGGACTTTACTCTGTGAGGTGGTTGACCACCTGGAAAGAAATACAAGTTTCACGAAGTAGTGTTACACAGTGAAACTCGTGTCTTTCCACCACTACGACCTTTGCGAGCCATTGCAGAAGTAGAAAGCGGTTCTACTTTTTGTGAAACTTGTCTCGCAACGGAAGTTCGAAAAAGTTTCACAAAACCGACTATGTTACATGGTGCAACGCCTGCTGAAAATTGATTCGCAGCGCTGTTGCACCCAAGTTTCAGCTAACAGTTTCAACATGTAATGGCGGCTTTAGGAGTATTTCTCATATTTTCTCCTCTTTTCACTGTCAGATAGCCGAGAAAGTGACAAAGAGCTTCCAATCATTACAGGGATTTTGGAGTAGAAGCAAAATGGTTATTATCATGTTTACTTTGATTTTTTTCCCAATCTCTGACTCTAGAAATACATGTAGCAATGCCCTTTTCCAGTAGGGTCAAAAGAGATTCTGAGGGAAGGGATAACCAGGCATTTTTAGTAGAAACTGTGTTTTTTGGGGGGGATTGGAACCAACAGAAACTCCATGGGTAGAGCATGGATCTTTTCTGCAATAACTCGATGGTTAAAAAACCGCGAGTCGAACCAAGAGCTGCCCATAGCAGAATTTATGAAAAACTGTGAACAGTGCAGGCAATAGTTAAAACCATATTTTTTATTGCTTGTTGAACAGGATCTGAACAGGAAACCATATGCAGCAAAGATATGAGTGCAGCTGAGATCTTCAATTCTTATCGTAATGAAGTGGTTGCCCACCAATGTGGCACTCAGTTTACTTCAGTAAACAGGATGCAAATATCACTGCTTATGCAACTGATGCGCATTTATAAAGATCCAACACTAGTTCTGACCAAACCACTTAATGTGAACTTTGTTGGTGAACATGCAGCTGATGTTGGTGGACCAACAAAAGAGTATTTCCACGAGGCAATATCAATCTTAAGTAAGGTGGACACTCTTAACAATATTCAGCTGTTTGGTGGGCAAGAAGGCCATTTACTTCCCTTGTATGGAGTTGATGCCATCTCTTCAGGTTGCAGGCAGGTACAAAAGTCAGACTGGTTAAACTTGGACCGCCAGTCCGGGTCGGATCAACTCGGATCGACTCGGACCAACTTGGATTGAATAAAAAAATAAAAATAAAATAAAATTGGACCTGGATCAACTCGGAGCAATCAAAAAAATTAAATTAAATTAGCAAAACTGAGAGTTTAACCCATTTGGATGGTAAAAAAAGGCCAGATCATCCTTTTTTTCTCCGTGGCTTTCAGGCGCCATTTTGTTTTACTAGTGCCAGTTCCTCTCGGATCATGTTATAAACTCGTGGTTATGGTTGTGTTACATGATGCGCTCTGCTTCACAGATATGGATGACCTCGATGTAGCCGTTTTTCCTTACACCATTATGTCATATTACCATTTATGGAAAGCGTAGGTCACGTGTCGTCAGAGATTAAACAGAGTTCTAGTTGTTGTTGAGATCGAGTTGGCGTGGTATGTTTTCGCCTATTTTCTAACCGCTACAAATCTGGTGGAGAACCTAAAATCCCGAAATGACCACTGTAAAAGAATTACAAGGCATCGTGGCAGGCCTTACGGCAATTGTCAAGCAGCAGGCGGAAGCACAGAAGGCAACAAACACTGAAATCGCTAACCTCACTGAAGCATTGCTCGCACATGGCGGACCTCCCACAGCTCCGGCTACAGCCCAAGTAAATTCCACGCCTTTACGAATGCCTGCTCTTCAACTCCCGCAATTTCGTTATGACCAGAACACTCACGACAACGTTAACGAATTCCTCGAATCTTTTGATGCTCAAACGGCCATTTGCAAGCTGCAACTAAGCTCACCTTGCTACAACAAGCATGCGTTGGCGAATGGCCAAATTCCGTGTTGTCAATGG